TCAGGTGATCGTTTCAAAACCAATTACAGGTGATATTTATTAGGAGCCTAGGAGAAGATGAAGCCACGCATTTCAAAGTTGAGATATTAGAGTTTTCACAAAGCACATTTGTGACTCATAAATACATGAGAAAATCACTTTGCACTTGGGAGCATTCTTACCCAGTGCTGACTGTAATGGGTCTTTTTTTGTGTGTGTGTTGTGGTGTTGGTGGTGGGGTGATATCCAATGACTCAGGCCCTTAAGTTGTATTGTTAGGTCAGGCCTAGGGAAAACTCACATCTCCAAGATGTGGTACCAGAAACAGGCATAATTTATATCACTAAACATATCTGCTGACTCAGAGTTGGAGTTTGCTGGTTAGTGCACCATCAGAACAGAGTGACTCTGCTCCCGTGTACCCACAGACATTGGAATTCTAGATCCAAATTTATAATATCCTACTTTGTTTGCTTTCTGTCCACATCTACGTAATCATAGTCTAATTATCATTATCAGGAAATTATCTTTGATACAGTGCCATTTACTAATGTGTACACTTCATTCGAGTTATATTATTTTTCTACCAATGTCCTTTTACTCTAGATCCAGGATTCAGACCAGGATCCATGGTGTATAGTTGTCACTTTTTAAAAAATCTCCTCTTCTCTAGTGTGCAACAGCTTCTCAGTCTTGCTTTTTTTTTTTTTTGACCTTGATACTTGCAAATACTGCTTAATTATTTAGTAGAATGGTCTTCAGTTTGGATTTGACTGATGCTTTCTTAGGATAAGACAAGAGTTCCTGCATTTGGGGGCAGGACTATCACAGAATATCACAGAATATTTCAGCACGCCCTATTAGCTGTGCATGTTATCAGTATGACTTATTACTGGTGCTGCTCACTTTGATCACATGATGAAGGTGGTGATAGCCAGGTTTCTCCACTGCCAAGTCATTATTTTTGTCTTTGTAATTAATAAAAATCTTGCTGGAGGATAACTTGAGAGTAGGCCTTTATCTTGTTTCTCATCATACTTTGATTTTCATATTGATTTTAGCATTAATTGGTGGTTCCTACTTGCTATCATTATTAATTTTGTGTTTGCCTCATGGTGATTTTTTTTTTATTTCCATCAAACGTTCTATTTTTATTCATTGTAATTTTACTATAAGGAAGAGTTGACTTCCTGTTTGCTTATTTATTTATATCAGCATGGGGTTTTATTTTATTCTGTGGGTTATAATCCATTATTATCACTTCCATTTTTTTTTTTTGGTTGTTGTTGTTGTTGCTTAAATTGTTTGATGTTTGGCCATTGAGAGCTTTCTTTAAGTGGTTCCTCAGTGTTTTGCTGCACTTCTCTTACTTTACAAGCATTTCCATCTCTTCTGGTTCCACAAGCTGTTCTAGGCTTATCCTACAGGTTCTTTGTCCCAGTCCTTGAAATGACTGTTTCTCCAAGGAGCCCTGCTTTCCCTTACTGGATAATGATTCTAGAAACCAAGTTCTTTCTGCTCATTACTACAGCATTGTCTTTGCTTGTAGGCTCCTCAGTGGGTGGAGTTAGGAAATATGTGTACAAATAATTTGTCCATGTATGTACACATTTATTCCTATATATGCTCTGTTGATATAGCATCAGTTTGCCCTTACATAATTTTTGTGTCTGTTTCATGTTTGTGTATGTGTATTAAAATCCAGTAAATACTGATACCATAAATTGCAGATAAACATCATGAGCATTGATTAAGTAAGTTTTCCTAATTATTTACAAATATGATTGGAAATAAATGTTGTGTTTGGGTTAGAAAGATTTCATCTTAAAATTCTCCTCATCTTTAGCATTTTACTCTCCACACTCTTGATGAGAAAATATTTTAACTTCTACATTCCAGGTGACGAGCTCTTTTCTATTTAAGCTTCATCTCTAGAACATATTGTAAAAAAGTAGATTTCTCAAAACAAAATCATTCTGTAATGATTTCACAGGGATACCTAGCACTTCCTGATGGGTACTGATGCTTCTCTAAGTCTTAGATAGAACAAGAAAGTCCTATGTCCAAATTGCAAGTGGTAGCCTCTCTGAAGTGGTCCAGATTTTAGTGAATAAGGTCTCCCCATGTTTAGATCATAAGTATGACTCATGTGCTCCTGGGATGCAAACCAGGGAATATTGGGAAGGTTATTTTTTAATGCTCCCAGAATAGAGCATAAATGTGTTTAGAATATCTCAATTTCTCAGAACTCTGACTATGAAGAAAGATGAGCCCACATCAATCATTTCCTTGGTGACTTTCAAATCTTTGAGCTAGAAAGCGTGTAAATGGACAGGGCACACAAAAGCTCTATCCATAGTAGCAACTGGGTGTATGAATTAGTCCTTGTGTGGGAGGCAGGGACCGTCCTGTAACCTCAAGGACATCCTATAACCCATGATTCAGCTGATTTTTTTTTTAACTTGGAACATATCCATGTCTTAAAGACCTGGTTCTTCTCTTTAGGCAAAACTCAAGAAGCATTATGATTATGTTCTCAAAAGACCCACATTAGTGCTCATTTCCAAGACCTCCAGCCTCAGCAAGATGGACCATACTCTGGGCCATAATGTAAACCTCAATAAATTTGAAAGGATTGATATCCTATAAAGTATGTTATTTGAGCAAAAATAAATCAAAATATAAATCAATAATAAAAATATATCTAGAAAATTCCAAAATATCTGGAAGTTAAACAACATGTTTTTTTTTTTGTTTTACTCGGTCCCTAATAATAATGGATTCCCCTACTGAAAATAACTGTAAAATAATGAGCATAGTATGAAAGCATCTACCTGAAGGCACTTGAAAGTCAACAGAAACAGTCAGATTTTGATGACAGATACACACTCAGAAGAAGAAGAAAGTAGGGAAACTGTACAGATATTTTCCCAATATTTGAGAACATGGAACAGTGCCAAGGATAAGGTGGGTACAAGGCTTGGGTGTCAGAAGATGGGTTTTGAAGAGTAGAGGAGGTAGAATGACCAAAGTAACAGCACATGGTTGATTGTGTCTTTGGCAGATACCATGTATCTGTTGGGTGCCAAATACTGAGCTTGATTGGCAGCATTTTTAAAACAGGAAGAAAAGATTAAGAGAGGTTTCAGGAGTAGGCTTCTATAATCCAGATATGAACTGACTGAAGCTAAGACTGGGGGTTTCAATATTTCAGAGAAGTAAATGATAATTTCTGGCAATAAGGTACAAAAGGGAAGAGGAAAAATTTGGAGACATGGAGTTTCTGGAAAAGGAGCAAGTGAGGAGGATAATGCAAATTTCTAGATCTGAGAAGGTGCTAACATTGGAGTGTTGGTTTCTAATATAAAGTGCTGAGAAGCTACTGAGCCAGAGCTACCATTTAATCAAAAAGTAAAACAATCAAATCTTACTTTTTCATTAAGCTTTCCTTGATGGATACCTCCATATTAGAGAATTCATTACCCACTCATCCCCTGACCAGTTCACTTTATAGTACAATATTTATTTGGGGTCACTTTGCTTTGTAAATTCATATCCTCTCTAGCTTGTGATTGTTCATTCTGTACCTACATGTATATTACATGGATCTATTCCCATGTTTAATCATTCTGTCACATACAAAGCCCTGCATCTTGCTGTGGGCACAGTAGTTGAATGAACACTTGTGACATGTGTTGAATGAAGATTAGAACCATTCATTAGTTCATATCATTAAAAATCAACTGTGAAGCCCAAAGCTGATTCATAGTTAAGAATCTGGTTTTCTTATTCAGTCATACAGAGTTTTTCTAGAAGCCTGATTAAAACACAATCTTTTGAAATGTCACCAAAATAAAATCCTTGACAGATACAACACGACTAGGTATATCATTAAAATACATGCATAGCAGAATAAAAGCCTAGAATCAGAACTCTGGTTGAAAACATAGAAGCTTCACGTAGGTATTCAGTTGGGATCCAGTCACATTAAAATGTGCCATCAGAAGCCCAGAAGATGGAGAAAATTGGGCCAATAGTGCAAGGTAGCAATATAGTTTCATACTATAGTCCAGAGAAGTAGAGTTTTTAAGGGAGGAGAGCAATTGAACACAGACTTCTTAAGTATCTACTTTTGCCATGAAAGTGCTTCTATAATCTTACAAAGACTTATAGGCACCAAAGATGAAGATTTGTTGAAACTAAACCTTCTGGTTTTTCTTCTCTATTTCTTTATCAGGAGAAAAACTTTATGTTGAGATATATAGGGTCCTATCTTTAACAGGTCTCAACAGCTGCATCTGAAGTTATTATTATCATGTAGTCAGAGATGCTAAACCATTGTATGTAGATGCCACATAGTGTGTAGAAATTGTATTTTTAATGACTTGCTGTGAGCATCAGGGGTTTTGTTGTATACCTCAAAGGCTTTATGCTAAGCACTCCTTAGAACAAGATCCATTCTTCCTGGTTGGAAAATCTGTGCTTAAGCCAGGTCTTGCTGTTGGTTAATTGCTATTAATGTCACATTTTAGTTTGAGTGGACATGCTTTGTTCTCTATAACGAGTTGGAAAATAGATTTATTGTTGTGACTTGATCAAATCTATTTAAAAAATGGAAGTGACACTATGAGAAGTCTTATCTGTTTCTGTTTGCTTCTTGCTTCCATGGGAAATCCTGGGGATACCTGGAGCATCTTACCTGCTGAATGGGATTGAGGGGCAGGAGATCATCATTTTGGCATTTGATGTTCTCTGGGATCTTGAAGGTGTGAGATAGTCCTTCTGGGACTCTAGTTCTCCTTCAGCCACAGTAATTGAAGTCATATGATGATGGGACCCTTCTGAACCCTTCAGAAGTATTCAGAGAGTAAATAGCAGGGTCAGACCTTTCAGTGAGAGCATTTCAAATACCAGCCATGTAACCATTCTCTGTTCCTTGCCCCTCTGCCTGTCAACAGTGGCCTCCCAGTGTTCTTTGCCTCAGATGGTGATTTCTCTCTCTCCCTCCTTCCTCTCTGCAGACATGCCTTGAATTGGAACGCTACCTACAGACAGAGCCCAGGCGGATCTCGGAGACCTTTGGTGAGGACTTGGACTGTTTCCTCCATGCTTCTCCTCCCCCGTGCATTGAGGAGAGCTTCCGGCGCTTAGATCCCCTGCTGCTCCCAGTGGAAGCCACCATCTGCGAGAAGAGCTCTGCAGTGGACATTTTGCTCTCTCGGGACAAGTTGCTATCTGAGACCTGCCTCAGCCTCCAGCCAACCAGCTCTTCTCTAGACAGCTACACAGCCGTCAACCAGGCCCAGCTCAACGCAGTGACCTCATTAACGCCCCCATCGTCCCCTGAGCTCAGCCGCCATCTGGTCAAAACCTCACAGACTCTCTCAGCCGTGGATGGCACAGTGACGTTGAAACTGGTGGCCAAGAAGGCTGCACTGAGCTCAGTAAAGGTGGGAGGGGTGGCAGCAGCAGCAGCCGCCGTAGCACCAGCTGGGGCAGTTAAGAGTGGACAGAGCGACAGTGAACAAGGAGGGGTAGGGGCAGAAGCATGCCCCGAAAACAAGAAGAGGGTTCACCGCTGTCAGTTTAACGGGTGCCGGAAAGTTTATACAAAAAGCTCCCACCTAAAGGCCCACCAGAGGACTCACACAGGTAGTGGTACAAGTTGGCCGCATGTGGTTTCTTCCTCTTTCCCCTGCTTTTGCCTTGAGGTGGGAAGGGCTCCTCTTTGTTCTAAGAAGTGGCCTTTGTGCTGACTAGGAGGCGACCCAAAGGCAGGAGGGCCCTGGGTGGGGAAGCAGAATGACTCACTCTGTACCCTAAAACCTCAAGATGTCCCAAGTGCAGGACCTGGGTTCATCACTGGCTGGCTAAGAGTTGCTTTCAGAGGCAATGCCAACCACAGCATAAACTCAGAGTTCTGAGGCTGATGGAAGGGGATCTGGTAGCGTGACTCACGTAAGACGTACATAGTGCAGACTCTGGTCCCTTTGCTGACACTTGTCTTTGTTTTCTGAGTGTAGCTTGCAGGTTTGATCAGCACCAGAATCCAAGGAGGTACACTAGGAAGCATCCACAGTTAAACAAGGTGGTTAGGGTGTCCCTATTCACTCTTTTCCCAGCATCCCTGATTTTTCATCAAAGTCACCAACAGCAGGAGGGTTTCAGAGTTCATTAGATGTGATCATTCTATAATTAATTGGCATCTCCTCTTTTGCATTGTTCTCTGGCGCGTGCTTTATGGAGAGATGGCAGAATTGCTTTTTAATGAGCTTGTTACTGAGAAGTTGCTAAAGTGATTACATTGCTATGTGTGTGGTAAGGGCGGGTGGGGGAGGGAGAGGGCCTGTATGTTTCACATAGGACTTCCGTGGTGATTCCAAGGATTCATATTGATCTTTCAAGCAATGGGATCATTTGGAAGAGCGGGGTTCACACAAAAGAGGGAGAGATTGGCTGTATCTTAAGCTGGTCTTTGTTCTCTACTTCGAGATTGTAGCTTGTGGGTAGCATCTCTTCTTGGTCTACTAGGGTGCTACTAGGAGCAATTACTGTGATTGGTGGTTTTTAAGTGGGTCACTAAGAGCGTATGACTTGTATGGCTTTTCCATAGTTTTTGCACACTGCAAGCTGAATAGGGAAAATCCCCAAAGGTATAAATGGAAGAATAAGAACATTCTCAGAGAAAAGTGGATGGTCGCAGCTGAGGTGGGAGAAGTGTCTGGTATTCTGTGTGGTTGTGGACTGTGCCACCAAGGAAGTGTGCATCATAAAGATGATTGGCTGGAAGATCAGAGCACCCTGGATTCTAGTTCTAACTGCCACTAACTAGCTCTGTGACCTGAAGTACATTTCTTTATCTCTATGGGCCTCATTTTCTACATCTGTCAAACAATCTGGCTCTTGAGGCCCCTTTCAGCTCCGATGGTCCATGAAATGTCTTTGTGTGGTACTAAAGAACTTTTCCTCAAGTAGGAATGCATAAATATGACTGGATAAAAGTGCTGAAACTCAAAGTCACTCCTGTGAGATAGTGAGACCAGACATTGCTTCCTTATATACAAGACAGGCATGTCCTCTAATTCTAAACTTAATTTCCCATGTGGCTCTTCCTTGGTTCATGGGATAATCCCCTAACATAATTTTTTAGTCCTATGGATCAGGTGTAGGGTTCCATTCATGGTTTTGCTGAAGAATTTATATGTAAAGCCTAGTGCTTCCTCATATTGTTAGTTTTTTTTCTTCTCTGATTTTGTCCTGAAAGTAATTTTTATTTATATTTCTTTCTCTCTAAAGTCAGTAAGTAGACAAGACATTGCAGTGCTCCCTGATTTCAATGCATGATTAATCTCCTGCCCCCACTCCAGGAAGCCAGAGGAAGCACCATGAACCAAGAATGTTGACGTTTGTGGGGGTTATAGAGTTCATAATTATGGACACCTTTCAGAATTATTAACACTAAGGCTACATCCTGCCTTGTATGGAAGCTGGACCACTCTGGTGAAGCAGACATTCTTTGGGGAAATCTACAGCATTTTCTTCTTTCTATCCCCTCTTCCCAGCAGAGATGATGGAAGATGTGATGATTGATGCATTATTTGGCATGTTGTTTTTGGAACATTGTCTACTCAGTGTGATTACCAAGGTGGAGCTGATTATGCTACCCAGCACCTGCAGCCATTGCCTCGTGGTGGATTGCAGTGCTCCTCCCTATGGGCAATGCCCTGAAGGAGGCAGTAAACATTATTAGAAAAGTAGCATGGCAGCAGAGCTAGAGCAGGGATTTGTGGTTAGGTAGACTTGGGCTTGTTTTCTGTATAAATTATTTATCTTCTCTGTTTCTTCTTCTGTAAAATAGTGCCAATTCCATCTACCTCAGAGATTGTTTTGAAGATTAAATTAGCAAATTACTTGGCAGATAGTAAAAACTCATTACTGTTATTGCTGATTATAGTTATTAGTATTGTTCTTGACACTGAATAGTGATAATTGAGTGAAAACCAGCTTTATGTAAACGAGAAATGAACCAGTTAGCCAGCGTTAAATACAGATCGAGTATCGCTAATCCAAAACTCCAAAATTGTTTTGCTACTGGAATTTCTCCCAGGGGTGCTCTACCACTGAGATACACTCCCAGCCCTTTTTATTTTATTTTGAGACAGGGTCTCCCTAAGTTGCTGAGACTGGCCTTGAACTTCTGATCCTCCTGCCTCAACCTCCCAAGTAGTAGGAATTACAGGCATGCACCACTATGTCCTGCTTCAAACTCTGAAATTTTTGAGAGCCTACAGGTATCACAAAGTAGCATATTCCACATGAGACCTAATGGGACAAGTCAGTCAAAATGCCAGAACACTAAAAATGTTGTTTAAAATTACTTTCTGGCTATGTGTATAAGGAGAACATGAACTATAAATGAGTTATTTCATTATGTGCATGCAAATATTCAAAAAATCAGAAAAAATATTTTCTGGTCCCAAACATTTCAGATAATGGATATTCAACCTATACTACCAAAAAAGTAAGAGAATATTTTCCTAGTGGTTGATCAGTAGGGTGTGGGGTGATAATGCACATGGACACCAGGGTGGAGGGTAAAACTGGCCCTGCAGACATTAGCCCACTGAGATTGGCAGTAATGTTTAGAATGGCTTTCCTGAAGACAGCTTAGAAGTAATTGCCTCACATCCTACAGAAGCATTTTGCCTATAAAAACCTTCCTCACAGGCAAGCACGGAAGGAAAAAGAAATAGATAAGAGGGGAGGTAGGATAGGGATGGAGGATGGAAGAGAGAATATGAATTAATTTAGATGAAATGGAGGAGAATCAGAAGTATTTATTTGGAATTGGTGTGAATGGGGCACATGGGGAACTGAAAACATAGGTGATAATTTATGTGGTGTGGATGAACTAAGACTGATGAAAACAGCATGAAGGATGGAATTAAATTAAGTGTAAACATATCAAGGAAATGGACTGGTAAAAGCTTGAGGGCAAAGGTATATGGGCAATGAAAATTCGGGTGGAAAAGAATCTGCTGCTATAAGAATTGGTGTGAAAAGACTAAATATTAAAATGAAGTTTTCACAAATTGTCTCTGGATGAATTCAGGCACACTATTTTAGTATAGACTTAGTTTTTAAAAAAATATTATTATTATTATTATTGGTACTGGGGAAGGACTCAGTTTAATTCAATGGAAAGGTATCATCTTTCATCTGGAGAGGTGTTTTGAGAAAGAAAACAAAGAAAGGGAGAGAAATAAGAAAATCATCCCAGAGAAAGAAGACATATAACAGCATTTTGTTCTCTAGAGTTATATTTATGCCATATCTCTTTTATATGGTAATATATTGCAAAGGAGACACAGTTGCACAAGTGAAATAAAATAAAAAATGTGTGAGTCTCCATCTTCTCTGCATAAAGAAAGACAATACCTTGTCGGTGACATGGATTTGCTTGCATTGAGGAATTTTTAAAGTGTTATTCATTTAATCTTTATATAGATAGAATTCACTGAACTAGAAAAGATATGCAATTTTTTTCCTTCTGTGGCTTTTTTTTTTTTTTTTTTTTGAGGATGCTGAATCCTTCAAACTTTTTGCCCTGGAGGATATTTAGCAATGAGATTTTTTTTTTTTTTAAAGCTAGCAGATGTTCAAGTTGGTAGCTGGGGCATAAATACTGGTTGCCCAAAGAGGTGAAGTTAGGGATGGGGAAAGCAGGCTGTAGATGGAAGAAGGTGAGGTAGGGAAGGAGACAAAGAGAATAACAGGATCTTAGTGAAAGGAAGCATATGAAAGTGGACATATGGTTTATTCATTAGGAAGAGTACTTAGTGCTGGCACAAGTGTACAGATGTCCTTCAGCAGCCAAGCCATGGCATACCCTTGTCTCCTACTCTTGTTTTCTGGTCTTTGTGTGATACATTTTTCTCTCTCAATTATTCAACCAAGTGCAATCATGCTGTCGTCCATCTTCCTGGAGTCAGCTAAATGATGCCGATATTTCAATGCAAGAAGAAACTTCACTTGCAATATAAAAAGTAATCCCTTTATGATGCCTAATTTCCATCAAACACAATTGGTTAAAATGTTTATACTTTCTATACAAAAAGAGAAAGAATTATTTTCCACATTTCTTCTGGGCCACTTCTTAGAAAAAAAGGAAAAAACCTGAAACTGAATTGTGCTAAGTGAGTTGCCTTTTTAATTTTGCAAATTCGTAGAAAAGCACATCTACATTTATATTGTTAAGAGTGAATTGTGTTGGTAAAGTCCAGACAAAGGCCACAAATTAAATCTCCAGTTGTTGGATACTGTTAACGGTTATATGAACAAGCCACGTTCTTTCAGGCCCTACTTGGGGGACCCTTTCCATGAACTGGAGTAGCTGGAATTGAGAATGCAGGTGGTGATAGATTTTGTGCTGAAGGGTATAATTGGATGCTTTTTCAGGTAGAGGATAATACAAGTGTGCAGTTTGCTTAGTGTTTTGCGTTTGCTTTGGGGCAAGCCTTATTGAATCCAGAGGTAGCATGATCTGTAAGTTCAATCAGGGTTTATAGCTCATTTTCAAATGAAAAGGTGGCTAAACATATTTCAAACAAAAGGACAAATGAAGCTCGGGGGAGGCAAACACCAGTGCTCAT